TTCTTAGTGGCATGGTTGAGATGGACACCACAGCTGTAGAAAACCAGAGTGCCAAAAGGTCTTAAGGAAGGGGTGCCTCGGTTAGGCTGGTTTTAATTGCATGGGGTCAATGCCGCCCATGTCGGCAAACAATATAAAAAGTAAATTACAAACAAAACAGTATCTGCTTGCACATCTCATTTTCTATTTTGCTCATCTTTCTCCCTTCCTGTGATGCCTATTGATGGTTTAAATGGCATTTGCCAACCCTCGCACTATGTTGGCATGTTGGCGTATAGTGGCCGCTGCGTCCCACTTTACTGCTGCTTGTTGAGGGAGTTTTCTGGAATCTTGTCCCACTAGAAAACTACCGTATTTTCTCGCGGGAGGTTTCTGATATTTCGTCAGACTAGAAAACTACCGTATTTACTCGCGGAATGAAGCCACCTTTTTGTCGGAAAAGCTGATGCCAACTTGGGGAGAGGGTTCATTATGCAAGAGAAAGCAAGAGTTGAAGGATTTAAAGAGCAAAAATTTTTCATGACGATATAAGAAGACTCACTGCCCAGCTGCTGTTAGCCTTGAATTCAGTGGAAAGACTACAGAGCCTCTGAATTATTTGAGAATTTTGCTCTTCACAAGGAAAAACTGTCCTTATTTTGGCCCGAGAAATGCGCGACTATCCTTTTTTGCGGCCCTAAGCTCTTTGTTTTCTCTAGTAACGAAAGAGCTCGGGTTGACGCTAGTATGTCATCCAGCCACTCGGTTCCCGTGCTCCAGGCCATGTTTGACCAACTTTAGGTTTCAAACCGGCCGTGTAGCTAGCGTACCGGCCCACTGTGCCTTGCACAGCAGGAGTCCATCGAAGTTCATGAGAAACCTGACAACAAAAAGGCAACCTCAAATGGCAACACATGCATGTTGCAGGTGCACATCACAATGTCAGTGTGGTTGTGCTTTGTTTTTTGCTTTGTTTTTTCACCGCTGTGCTTGCATGGTGCTATAAGCAAAGAGGTTTCTTCTGAGTTGGACAGATGGTGCCCTGCTGCAAAATTCGCGAGTTCTGAATTTTGATCGATGTAGCACTCGCGCTGCTCGCAACTCTTTAGCATAATTGTTAAGCTATGTTTTGACTCTTATTGCATTGTTTTTTTTTTGTCATATAACGGGGTGATTCAACATTGTTTCAATTTTCAATGGCACATGCTATCACACCGAAATAAAATGAACAGATACACTTAGTAACAGATCTTTAATTCAAGGACCAAAAGGATCATTATGCGAGACTGTTAAATACGCAAATAAATACAGTCAGATGAACACCACGTAGAGTTACAGACAGTCAGTGTTGTCTGGTAAAATGAATATTGATCTAAAGCTGCTCTATAAAGCGAAACTTGAGGTTAAATAACTTTCATATAGATACCTGTTTCCAAAATATGCATTTATAAGTGCTTATGGTAATTTAGGCCCAAATGGCGAAAGTAGGCATTTATAGACGCTATAAGAGCACTATAAAGCCATTCTTAACCTCTAATTCATGCTCATAATAAAAGTAGAGCGATGGGGAATGCAAGGAATAAAATATGTTTTCGCCCTGAATCTGCTTTTTAATGATCGTCTCATAGTGTGAGACTGGCTGAAGGTTTTTACACGACAGTGTTTTATGCTGGATTGCACCAAGACTTCAGTGACGTACTTTCATCATGTAAATGATGTCAAAGAAATTCACACAATCAAAAGACAATCAGAGGAAAAGAAAGAGAGAGAGATCCATCACTGGGAGTTGAACCCATGACCTCTCGGTAGGCAATAACAGATTTGATTGATTTGTGGGGTTTAACGTCCCAAACGGTAGGCAATAACAGCTTCAGGGCACGCGATCCACTACACCACGGTTACATATTTTGTAGGCTTGAAAAACGCGCCTTTTATATCTACCACTGCGCTCTCACAGTGCTCCTCATAAAGCGTACTAATGCATCATGACCGTGACATCTACGATTACAGTAAAAGCTCGTTAATTCGACACCCGTTAATTCGGAAATTCGGACGGCTCTATTGGTCCCGGCCAAAGTGCATGTTAATCTATGGGACCAAACCTTCGTTATTTCGTCGGAATTCGGCTCCGCGCCGCTTAATTTGGGCAAATGCTGACGGCTGCTGCTACACAAAACTGGAATAAAGCAGCACTGGCACCACTGGAGTGAAACCGAAACCTGAGTGGCATCGCCATCATCATCAACTAGTGGGGGCGATCGCAGCGTCACCGAACGTCGGCGTCTTCTTTCTTCTCCACTCAGCGCCTCCGACGCCATTTTCCCTTGTGTTGTGTCGGAACCATCTCTTCTTGCGGAGTTCTCTTTTTCTTCCATTGTGACCGTATTTGCATGCCACCACCATCGTGCGCTACAGTGATGGCAACGCCGAAAAAGCGGCTGAACGCGAAGAACTTGGCGACTAAAGTGGAAATTTTGGAAGCACTGAAGAACGACGAATCGCGACAGCAGGTTATGACCAAGTACAACGTAAAATGGAGCACGTTGGGAACCTACGTGAAAAATGAACAACAGATTCGACAAGCCTTCGAAAGCGAGAAGTTTCATGCCTCTAGAAAGCGGTTGCGAACCGCAGCTCATCCCCAGCTCGAAGAAGCTTTGCTCCGGTGGATTACTGATTGTCGCAACGCACATCTGCCTTTGAGCGGACCTCTCATCATGGCGCAAGGTGAGAAGTACGCTGCAATGATGAACATTAAATCGTTCAAAGCGTCAGAAGGGTGGTTTGCGAGGTTTCGAGAGAGACACGAACTTGTCTTCAGGAGTGTGTGCGGCGAAAAGGCCAGTGTTGACGAAAGCGTGACCGCCGAGTGGAGAAATGTGAAGCTGCTGGAGGACATCGCCGCATATGAACCACGTGACGTGTTCAATGCAGATGAAACTGCTCTATTTTTCAGAGCTCTGCCCGACAAGACGGTCACTTTCAAAGGGGACGCGTGCATTGGTGGCAAGAAGTGCAAGCAAAGGATAACTGTGCTTCTTGCCGCCAATATGACTGGCACGGAGCGCTTGCCACTACTTGTCGTCGGGAAGGCGCTTAAGCCACGTTGTTTTAAGAATGTCAAAAGCCTTCCTGTCGACTACACAGCGAACAGGAAGGCATGGATGACATCGGACATTTTTCGCGGCTGGCTGCAGCAGTTGGACCGGCACTTCACGTCGAAGGACCGCAAAATAATTATGGTTGTTGACAACTGCAGTGCCCATAACTGTACAGTCGAACTGAAGAGCATCAAAGTAGTTTTTTTGCCGCCCAACACTACGTCTTCAGCCGATGGACCAGGGTATCATTCACTACGTGAAGTCAAAGTACCGTAAGCACCTGCTAGAGCGAATGATCCTATGCTCAGAAGCTGGAAAGTTGTATCAAGTGGACTTACTCGGCGCAGTGCACATCATCGCCCACGTGTGGAAAAACACTCCGCCGCAAGTCATCGCCAACTGTTTTCGGTACAGCGGTTTTGTGAGGCCCGAGCATGCTGCAGTAGCTGACGATGGCATCGAGGAGGTGTCAGCCGAGTCCACCGACGATGACTGCCCGACTTTCGATGCTGTCCTTCCCACAGATGTGACCTTTCAGGACTACATCGCGATTGATCCTGGTGTCGCCACGAGTGGTCTCCTGACCGATCAAGAGATTAATAATGATGTCATGGGCACCCATGAAGACCACAATTCCGACGAAGAATCATGCGAGGAGATACAGCCGCGACCTCATCGCACCTCACGGGAAGTCTCGGAGGCGCTGTTAATATTAGAGGACGCTTGCCTGAACACTCCCGACAGCTTGCGTGCTGTTGGCCATTTGGAACAGTTAAGAAAAATTGTGATGTCAGCCGGAATGTGCGCGAAAACGCAGACGACAATTACAAAATACTTCAACAAATAAAGGTATGCTTCTGCATCTTGATTTTAAATGTTGTTTTCCCTGTTCATTCGTTTATTCGGCATTTGATTAATTCGGACAGTTTTTCCTGTCCCGTGAAATCCGAATTAACGAGCTTTTACTGTATTTCCTTCAACGCACGCTGTCGCGGTGGTCTAGTGGCTGAGGTACTCAACTGCCGACCTGCAGTTCGCGGGATCGAATCCCGGCTGCAACAGCTGCATTTTCGATGGAGGCGAGAATGCTGTAGGCCCGTGTGCTCAGATTTGGGTGCACGTTAAAGAACCACAGGTTGTCGAAATTCCTGGAGCCTTCCACTACGGCGTCTCTCATAATCATATGGTGGTTTTGGGACATTAAACCCCACATATCAATGTGTTAGTTCCTTCAACGCATAGTTTCTACGTGTTCGTCCTATTCAGTGCATTTCCAATAGAAGTGCAATTTTGACAACGCCTCAACGCACTGCAAGGTGGCGACCTTACTCTAAGTGTCAACAATGCTCATGGCATTCATCCATGCCAAAAATAGCTCCGCAACCAATAGAGCAATGTGCGTACTTTGCCTTGATGTAACTCCACGTTCCCCGCTTACACTGACTCGCCCCACGGAAAATCTTGGCAGGTCAACAGAGAAAACACAATGTGTGTTGCGTTTCTCTCAAATCGGGCAGTGGCATTGAATAACTCTAACATGCGGCAAGTAGGCGACCTTAACCCAAGTTTTGCATACAATCAGTCAGGCTCTCTGGTTCTCACACCACTTTCCTTGGTTCCACCGTCGCCGTTTGCTGCTGCTGCCACAGGCATCTATGACCACTAGGACATGTGTAATCATTAGTCATAGACGCGAGTCGTCGGGACGTAGATGCATCACTAGGCGTCAGCGTGGATGTATTTACGCTAAAGGGTGCTTTAGCTGTCAAACACCAACAGACATTGAATAAGCTCTTTGATACCAGTGTACAGTGAACACTAAACTACTTCTGTATGAAGACATTTTACGTTCGTGTTGTATCGATTTCCATGATGGAAGGGTTTAACTATAGATATTTTTCTCATTCTCTTATTATCCAGGAGCCTGTGGCTGAAGTGGCCATGCTTCATGAAAAACAAGTCGAGCAGGTGGTTGAATCACCTGTGTACGACGCGGTAACTGGGAAGAGGATATGGCGGGGTAGGGAGCGCACCGCGGGCTCTGGTCCACAAGCTGCGGCGGCCGGGAGTGCACCCGTGCCCACATCATCTGAGGAGTGGACCTGGTGAGTCAATTCTGTGAACGTTGTCCCAAAGTTTATGATAGAAGATTACACCCCTGTCGCCCTGGTAAGTCTGGTGTCATTGTGGGCAATTGTACCGTATTTTTGCGCGTATAACCCGCCCCTGCATATAATCCGCACCCCCACTTTCAGCTCACTGAGAAAGAAAAAAAAAAATCGTCGCGTATTGCCTGCACATTTAATATAAAGGAAACGCTGTACAAAAGCTACTGCTCAAGCAACATAGCACATATGTAGACAGAAAAAGCTTTATTTAGCAAGCAGAATACGCTGTCTGCAAGGCCAGTCACAATTCACTCACGGTCGCTGCTCTCGCTATAGCTATCACTTGAGCCGCAGTCCTCACTATTATGCACAAGGTCATCTTCGGTTCCATTCATGTTGTTTGTGATGCAGCATTTCTTGAAATTTTTTTGCACCATCTCACCTGGAAGGGCCTTCCATGCCTCGACAATCCACTTGCAGAATAGGGCAATATCAGGCCTTCGGACTTGTCCTGTCGGCGTCAAGTCGTAGCAGCCTTCGGCCATCCACTCGGCGTAATAGCGCTTGACACGCGCTTTGAAGGGCTTGTTAAGCGACACATCTAGATCTTACAGATCTTACATCTAGATCTTACATCTACAGATCTCACATCTAGATCTTACATCTAGATCTTACACATCTAGATCTTAGATCGACACGTACGGTCGCAGTTGCGTGCCGTCGGCGAGGGCACAAAGCAAGACTGTGATGCGCAGTTTCGTGTTCCCGCCGGTCAGCACGCTCACCGAATTGCTGCTCGTCTTCTCAATCGTTGTGTCCAACGCCATTTCAAAATAAACAAGAGTTTCATCCGCATTGCCAATTTGCGAGAAAATGTAATTGTGCTGCTTTCGCAGGCCAATTACATATCTCTGGTACTTGAGCAGCTTCTCCTCATAAGAAGCCGGCTAGCAATGACATATTGTAGTCCGCCGTCTGATTGAGAGCCCTTGCCGCTTCATAAAGCGGTGCAGCCATCCGGGGCTCGCACAGATCTCGTGAGGTAGGCCTAGCTCCCTCGAAAGTCGCCGCGGTTCCACTTGGGCCATCTCGGTCGATACGGCGTGACCCCTTGCTTCTCACATCTTCGATGAACTTTACTAGCTCCGCCTCCTGCTCAGGGTAGACACCGGTCTTGGGGCCACGAAATGACCTACGGTCGCGGTGCGCGACTTGTAGGCTCTCTTTCTTCTTTCTCCACAGTCGCACGCAGGACTCGTCCAGATCGTGCCGTCTTCCCGCTTCGAAATTTCCAAATTCCTCGGCAACGGCGATGATCTTAAGCTTTTGCTGTGCCGTGAAGGCCTGCCGCCGTACGCTACTCATGGTGACAGAACAGATCAACTTAGGCTTGGCGAACGGGTTGAGATGTGGAGAATTAGCGGTATCAGCGAGGTAAAGAGCGCTCACACTCGGCGACAACTTGACAGCACTACCCCTTCTAGTACACTGTAACAGCATTGTGGAAACAACAAAACCGAAATGCATGCCTGCTACCGCGTCAAAAAGTAGTACATTAATTTACTGATAATATCGCTATAGGCACTATAACATCTCATTTGCCTTGCTGAAATAAATACTGCTTTATTTATTATGCAACTTTATTTATTATGGAACTTTCTTAAACAGCACCACCTTTTCGGCAAGCCCTTTCCAAAAGTAAACATGGCGTCCGTGACGTAGGGACATGTGGAGGGTCACTGAACGGCCGCGAACGTCCAAAAAATATACTTGTGGTGTGACAGTGATATTTTACACTGAACAATCAAATTGTTTCTCCCTAAATGTTTTTCTAAACGCTTCAACGACGCAAGCAAGCGAAACCAAAATCGGCCGCAAGCTGCTGTGCTACTTGCGGAGCAACACGAATTTGCGGAAACCGCCTCCGTAGCCTTCGCTACACTGTTAAAGGGCTTCACAGCACGACACGCATTGCTGTGAAGCAGAACTATAGGAAAAACCCCGCGTATTATCTGCACCTCCACTTTGCCACTGAAATTTTTGGGTTTTTGGTGCTGGTTATACGTGCGAAAATACGGTACTTTTATTGTTTCCAGTGTGTGCTGAGTATACCACCTGAATACTAGGTGGTGAAAGGTTTTGTTTTGTTTGGAATTGTTGTTTTTAATTCGGAGTAAACCTTTTAGAATCACATGTTCTCCTGTCTTTTGAAATATTTCTGCAGTGTCAATTTCACAGTACTCTGATACATAGAAAAAATAAATGCGCTTTGAAAACAGTAATGATGATTCAATAGTGCACAACATAAGCTTTAAAAAATTTGTAAACAGAGGGGAGGCTTGCTCACGTTATCGCTGTTGTGAATCGCATGAGCAAATACCTTGCGAGTGCCACGGTGTGTACGGAACACACAGTCGCGGCCGAAGAGGCGGCGATTGCTCTTGCACTGGTCGCAGCACCACAGGCTGCGGTCATGATCAGTGACTCACAAGCTGCCGTCCGTGGCTTCGCGCGCGGTCGCATCTCGTGTCTGGCGGCCCGGATACTACAATCAAGTAATGGCAACAAGGAAGGCGGCGAGCTTCGAGGAGCGATGGCCTCAGCGTCGTCATCCTCGTATCTCAAAGCTGAAAATGCGAATGTCTTCCTTCTGTGGACTCCGGCTTACATCAGCGTCCCGCTCACAGGTAACTAGGCGGCCCACACCATGGCTCGAGATCTCAGTCACCGAGCCGCGGCCGATTTGGTGGCCGCTTTCACCTCCGAGAGTGGGGCGATAACATTATCCACACGAGAAAAACAAAAAACAAAACAGGAATGGTCGTGGGGTGATCACCTGACTACATTCAACGACATTACACAACATTATAGACTAAACAGATGCAAATACCCACCAGCACACCACAAATTGGACAAAAGACAGGCCGCAACGCTGAGGTTATTACAGACAAATATGTACCCCAGCCCGGTGATCTTACGCCTGTGTTATCCTCACCTATACCCGGCGAACGCGTGTAAAGCGTGCGGGAAAAGGGCCACACTGCGGCACATGCTTTAGGGGTGTGCTGAAAAAGCTAACGCCACTTCCGCCGCTCCCATTGCGACGCATGTGTTAGGCAGGGATGAACTCCGAGGCCAATTGCTGCTGCCACCACTGCGCGAGGGCAGGGGCGGCCTCTGCCGCGGCTGCGGTCACTGTTGCCGATCGGCGGTGTCAGCTGCGCTGCCGCTGGGAGGCGGCACTCACAAGCGATGAGCTGACCCACCAGCTTTGGGCCGTCCGGCAAGCTGAAGATGCCGTCGGGGTTCAAGGACTTCGAGCAATCACCTGAGACATCGCCATCATAATCGACGAAGAGTGGGAACAGAGGTTAATCCCCTCTTCCCCCTCCTCACCCGATAAAACTGCCGGACTTTTAATCAAGTTTGTTCATTCATTCATTCAACAGAGGATGTGTGCCTGAGCTAATGTTTCCTTCAGTCGACTTTTCGGAACATGAGCTTGAGCACAGAACCCCTGTTTGCGGCTTTTTTAATCGCAAGCTTCCATCTTTTTTTCCCTTTTTTTGGACAATATAAATTGGTTATTCAAGGCAGTTTTTACATTATGAAACGAGATAGCCCTGTAGATAAGCTCTAGGTGCAAATGCGGTTGACACAGCCGTTGCACAGCATGTGCTATCACTGCTGCGTGATGCCCCTGCAGATGTGGCCATAAATTGTTCCAATGCTACAATACTAAACTTGTATGTTTCTTAGTGCAGTCAAACCTTGTTAATACGTACCGGCTTTAAACATACTAATGGTTAAAACATAGTTGCGACACATCTGTGGCCAAGTTTCTAGAGCCTTATTCATTTGCGGACTGCTGAAACCGAAGTGGTTCGTATTGTGCCTTACTGGTTAGTGTGTACCTTACGTAGCGCAATAACCTTTCGTCCCATAAAAGTTGACTGCGCTGCTGAACTTGCCAATGCCAAAATATGCTGCCAAAGGCATTCCATCTTTTATAGAATCGCAGAGCTCAGTTTATCAGTTATTCTGACTTTTCTATGATTGTAGCGACACCTTTGCGGAAGAGCATTGAGAAATAATAAAGGTGAGATGGTGGCCACCTATGAATGCGCCAGTATGACTTGTTTTAGATAACCCTATTTCCTTGAGCTATCTGCTTTTGCTCTTGTGTGGCATAGCTAGGGGTGCAACACCTGCGCCTATTGCGCCAATTTCATACAATTCTCCATTGTTGCGCCGAGCTGTGCCAGAATGATCAAATTAGCTGAAATTGTGCCACATGATGCCCAAATGCCTGAGCAGCCTCAAAATTTTCTTAAGTGCGCTAATTTCAGGGAGAAATGGAGACCACCTTGGCCACCTGCAGTTTGCATCATCAATCAATCCAAGTGCGCAAACCCCAAACACGGTGTAAGATATATACTAGTTACACAAAGACACTTGTGAGATGCAATCGACCAGATAAAAAAACAATGTTGCTGCACCCATTGGTCCACTGACTGCAGCGGATACCTACTGGAGGAACGCAGTAACTTCCAAACAAAAATGCGTTGCCGTAGCCACCAACCCTTTGCGGGAGATATAAATTTCCTAGTCGGCAAATGCGGTTATTGCTTGCTAGGAAGTACAGCTTGGAGTGTATGCTGCATTTTTCGCATGCGAGCAATCTCAACGTGCCCAAAACACCGGTGTTGCCAGCCACAACGATGGTTGCCACAACGACGGCACATGAAACATTTTTATGTTTTGAAGACGAGTCATCCTGCCGATAGATATTCGGTGCTGTTGCTTGGCCAATGGGCGCGTGCCATTGTTACTTTATCTGGTCGAATGCGCCTTGCAAGCGAGCCAAGAAGTTGTGCCCAGAGCCTATCCCCCGTGAAAAAGAAAAAAGAACTGGAGGGGGAGGGGGGGTGGAGAGGTTGCTCTTCGAAATTTTTTTGGCCTCGTTCTAACCTGCGCACAATGCAGTTAAAGCTACC